CACATCTCTTGGAGGTTTTGCTTTTTCTTTCTGAATTTTCTTTCTATGTTTTTTATAGATATGGCTAGTTCCATGTTTTGGTCTTCAAGTTCTAAGATTCTTTCTTCTTAATTAATTCTGCTTTCCTTGTTTGTTATCTTGTTATTTATCTCCTGGTTGAAATTTTTTATAACCAAAAATCTCTGTTACAAGTTCTTTCAGTGTTGCATCTTGTCTTTCTTGAGTCTTATATACTCTTTCCATCCATTCCCTAATCCATGCTGTATTCTGGGGTCAATCATTTTTGACTTCCATTGTTTGGGCTCCGAAGTCTGATTTTTAGAATTTTCTTTATGTTACACTTGAAATTACTGTGGTCTTCCATTGGTTTTTCCTCATTTGTGACAGATCTCTTGTTTTTCTCTTTAGTTCCGTTATTCAATGTCATTGGGAGAGGCTTTCACTTCTGATGCTTGCTCAGCCCTCTGAAGTTTGCTCTTCTCTGATCGGCACTCTGAATTTGTTCTATTTTGAAATAGGGCTGTGGGTGTCAAGCTTTCCTTCTCTTATACTTTTGAGAGTCAAATAAAGTGGAGGATGGGAAACTAGGATTCAGAAACTACTTGCAAATTACAATGTTCACTGGTTGTGATATTGGTTCCCTGAGACCCACTTTTCACCACCACTCCATATGACAATGCAGTGGGTGTGTACCCCCAAGTCCAAGCTACAATAACAGCAATGAGGAGAACAAAGAAAAGTAGAAAAAAGATGTACAAAATTTTTTAATGAAAAATTTAAAAAAACACAGATCAACAAGAGCAGAATCAAAGGAAAAAACAATCACACACACACACACACACACACACACACACACACACACACACACATCAAAACAAATTGTAATACCAACAAAAGAAAACAAATTCTTTTAAAAACCAGGAAAACCAAACACTCACATGCCCAGCCCAAAATGAAAGAAGATAAAGAGGAAGAAAGAAAGAAAGAAAGAAAGAAAGAAAGAAAGAAAGAAAGAAAGAAAGAAAGAAATTCAAATCTAAGTCTCACACATGTATTCACACACACGTTGAACTAAAAAAATGACAAAAAAGCAAAAACAAACAAAACTGAAAGATGAACACTCAATCCTTCATGTACACACATAAACAGAAAACAAAAAAAGAAGAAGAGGAAAGAAAAAAATTGTTGAGGGGGATGTAGATCACATGCACATTCATGCACAAAAGAAAAATATTTAAAAAATTAAAACCAAACACTCAAAAATCTACCTTCTTGTTCCTCTCAGCTGCCCCTCTGTTGTCTCTTACAGAGCTTTGGCCTCATCCACAATCTTCCCAGTGTCCAACTCAAGGAAGAAGATGGGGGCAGTGTGAGTGGGTAGGGCTTCAATCCTCCCCTCCCACATTAGTACGGTCAGGGGCATCCCCTCTGCTGGGGAGGTGATGGATTGTCTCTTTCCCAGGTACTGGCAGGGGGTGCTCCAACCAGACTTATCCTAGAGTGGAGTCCTCCTGTCGTGACTGAAGTCCAGGCTCTGCCTGGGTTTGTTCCTCTCAGTCTTGCTCCAGACATGTGGGTCTGATGTTCAGAGGATTGCTGGGGAGGAGTGAGTTGGGTCAACCCTAGATTCACCACTGAAATCTTTGGAAGTCTTCCTCATGCTTTTCTGGCTACACCTTTTGTCCTGCAGGTGAATCAGGGTAGGGGGTGGGGCACATGAAACTCAATACTCATCCTGTCCCTCCAGAGTTTGTGCTTTCAGGATATTCCCTCTAGGTCACAGTCAGTGAGTAGTTAATTCACCCGTCACAGAGATCGGGCCTGGTCTCTCACTCCAAGGTGAGCAAGCCAGAGCACCTTCCTGCCCAGTTTTCAAGATGGTGGCATGGTGTCTCTTTCATCTTCTCCAGTGGGGCTCAGTCTCTAGGCTCTCTCACTGTACGTGTCCAGCCAGGTGCTGCAGTGGTGAGGCAAAGTCTGGAGCCAACAGTTTCTCCTGGCAACTTCTTTCTGGAAAGGACTCTGTTGATTTTTTAAAACTGGCACTCAGCTTCTGCACCCCCGGAAGAACTAGGGACCAAGCAGAGCAATGGCAGCAACAACTGCTTAACCAGAAGAATCCTGGTCACTTGCTCCAGAGTCCCTACTCAGGCAGCCACTTACTCACTGACACGTACACAAGATTTTCCCTACTCTCACTCACTCACACTGGGACTCACTTAGTCTGACTGATTGTGCCATCATATTCCCGAGAATCCAGAATGGCAGCTTTAAAGTATGCACAAATATACATATTATATTCTAATTATTACATTGTTATATATATTATCTGAACATACATTTTAATATAGTTATATAAAGTCATATATAATTATATATAATTCTTATATGTCACATTTACTTATCTGCAGAAGCATTTATCTTCAACTACTATATTGATCAGAATTGGTATAGTCCTTCAGCACACTAACTCTTATCTCTTTCTTATATTTTCTGAGGTGGATACATTTTGCAAATTTGTACTTGTAGTGAGCTCATTTTGACGTGATTTGAGGTTTTTTACTAACTAACATCCTGTGCTGCTTTTTTATTTCCAATAATTATGGACAGCATTATTATAGCATTAGTGTCTGTTGTTTTACCTGTATTTTCTCTTTCAATACTCATGACAATTCTGTGCTTTAGCCATTCATATAATCATCATTTTTAGAGTAGGAAACTGTCACATTGAGAGTGTAAATGGTTTGTCTGGGTTTATCCAACCAATAAGTTATAAAGCCTCCGGGATTCCACATTCTCCCAACATACTTTGCTCTGAAATATTTTAACTTTAAACTTTAAAGAACCTAACACAAATTTTTAAGTAAATAATGTAGTACCATTTTCACCACAGTAGTCAATTTCATTTTTTGTAGGAGATAAGTAGATGTAGTCTTTTCCTCACACTCATATTTAAATGTACTTCTGCTTCCATGTCTTGGCTTACTCAAAATTTAAGGAATATCATCCTAAAGAAGGAACCTGTAGAGATAAGACATCAGGAACACCAGCATTTAATAAGCCTATTAGAGACTGAAGAAAATAAGCTAAAGGGAGAAAAGAAGTGTATACTGCCATTGGTTGCAGATATCCACAGTAATATGAATTCTAAGGGGAAATGCTGGCGATGGTGCAAGGTTAGCTACTGACCTGGCTGCCGTTTTTAATGCCTATTTGAGAAGTGCAGTTCTAGGTGTTAGGGCCTTCCAGAAAAGTGGTTCATTAAATTAATATATAGTGGAACCCCCAAACTATTTTGAGCTCTTAATTAGAAGCCAGAATAGCTCAGCAATAATTGTAGGACAGCATAATTTTTGATACAGTTTTACATGGAGAGGAATTATATGAGAAACATGTCATGCTCCCCTTTGTACTCTTATTTTGTGGTGAGTAAATGACCTGTCTTGGATTTAAATACCCTCCTGCTGCTTCAGTGGGCTTCAAGGTCCTGTGGATGTGGTAGTCTAGGCTAATGGAATCTAGGAAGGCAGAACCTTTTGTTTTTTTGATCATCCTAAAATTCAGTTGTATCTTGCCACAAAAAGTTCCTTATCTTTTTGTCAGATATAAAGTACTGGGCAAGACCAGTTCTTCATGGACAGTTTTAGATCCTTAATAATAGTTTCAAAAATTGAGCATAAGTGGTACTGTAGGTATATCACATAGTAACAGCTTCATATAATTATAATTGTCCTCTAACTCTTGTAGAGTCTACTATATTTGATATTTTCATGCCAATCAAAATTCCCCCACATCTTTTACTCCTCTGATCCTCACATTTATAGATCAGGTTTGTGGCTTCCTGACTTTCAGTTGCATACAAAATATATATTTTTTTCTGTCACATAGCCAATAGCACAGCTGTGAAAACAGATGAGCAATTATCCAGGGACGATAAGCTAGCTGCCTACTTCAGGGACTCAGGGAGAACCCAAGGAAGGGCTGTACATCTCTCTAAACTTTCAGGCAGATGCTCAACTGCACTCTGTGCAACCAACAAGGAAGAATTGAACAAAATGTGTTAGAGCTTCATATTAGTTTGGGAATATCTGTTGGATTTGTGATGTGCCCTTAAATATTTTACAGATGGGTATTCAATTTACAGGGGGTGTCCAAAAAATGTACACACATTTTAAGAGATATTATCTATGTACTACTTTTTGAAATTGAATTAAATTATGGGAGTGATGTGTAGTATGTTTGCTCAACCATGCTTCCACCATTTTATTTGACTGTCACATGATGACACTAGCATTCATTTGATCAATGCCATCTTTTGAACAAACATTATACTTAAAGTGTGTATACTTTTTTTTTTGCAACCCCTGTATTTTACCTTGTTTTCTTTCAGATTTTTTTCATCTGTTTTCTCTATATCTGCTGATTCTCCCTTCTCTGAGTGACACTATAACTAAATAAACTTAAACTATTTCTATTTATTTATATTAGTAAAATTAAAGATCTCTCTTAGGCCAAATACACAATTGTCCACAATTTTTTTTTTTTTTTTGAGACAAGATCTCACTCTTTCATCGAGGCTGGAGTGAAGTAGCATGATCTCAGCTCTCTGCACATGACCTCCTTGGCTCAGGCAATCCTTCTGCCTCAGCTCCCCACATAGCTGAGACTGTGACTGTGAGCTAATTTTTGTATTTTTTGTAGATACAAGGTTTCGCAATGCTGCCCAGGCTTGTCCTGAATTCTTTATCCAATTTCCAACTATTACTATCATGAGATATTACTTAATATTCAACTTTTATTATATAAATTATGATAATGTATCTTTATACTTTATGGCAAATATACTGTTAATTGTATTTCCTACTTAAATGGTTATCTTAGATGGTGTTCACACTGTGTATTGACTCAGAATTTTGATAATTACTTTTAATATGAGAACTGTAGTTTAGAGAATATTTGCTGGAATGTTTTCATGTACTTTTGTTTATTTCACATTTTAGGTGTACAAGAATTTCCAGAAAACATAAAGTGCTGTAAGTGTTTAACAATTATTGAAGCCAGTGTCAATCCCATTTCTAAGTGAGTATGAGTGATTAAATTTTATTTATATCTGTGTTTCCATTGGACAATAATGTACAAGATAAATGACAGTTGTATAATAATAAAACGTTAAAAGTAGCATTGATATAGCATTATTAATAGAATGATGAGAAAGAAATAATTAAGTCAGAATAGTTTGGCAAAAGTTATCAAAAGCATTGCTGAGTAACAATGAAGGCTCAACTGGCACAAGGTAACATTACTTGGAAGCAAACATTGTCATCACTTCTTCTGTAGCTCTCAGGCAACATTTCGTGGATGAGAGTTGAAACTAAGAAAACAGTTACTAGTTATGGTCACAGTGGGGAATTAGCATCAAGGACCTGCTGGAGGTTCAAGAGAATTTAGAGTATTGATAAGTGCATAGAAATAACTGATCATGAAGTTCAAAGAAATTAAATATTACCAGGAATAGGGAATGGATGTGTAATGAAGGTTGCAGCAAGAGCAAAGAGTCAAAGAAAGAGCAAAAATTCTAGGAAGAGAGCAGACTGGAAGACATGGGTAGTAAGTGTTCTTTGATCCAAAAAAGGGTATTTGTGGTTGGAGATCTGTTCATCAAGAAATGTCATGGGAAAATGAGACCCAGCATGTGACTATGATTGTGAATTGCAGGTATGGTGTAGTGACAGAGTCCGTGGAATCAAATAGATCAGCAAACCACAAAACAAATGAATTGGATAAATCATGAGCCTGAATGTGAAAGCCTTAAAAATGGAGCTGGAAATAAAATCTTGAGAGGCTATTGACAGTTGCAATATTTGAAAGAAGTTGGAACAAATCAGTGGTATTGGGATGCAGACACTGACTTTAAGAGTCGGACTGGCATTTTAATTGTACAAAGCTGACAGTAGAATTTGAGAAAAATTCCTCAATTGTTTTTCCACATAAAGTTGAGGAGGCTGGGGGAACTGAAGCCCACTGGGAAGAAATTTAACAAATGGAGTGTTTTGAGAAGGAGACATGAAGAAGTTTGTCAAAGAAAAGTTGTTGGGAAATGTTACAGCAGCACAGTTGAGGAGGGGGAGTAGTGAGAATGATTCTCTGGATCATGTGAAGTGGCTCGAGATAAGATGAGGAATAAGGGGAGCGGGGAGATGGCGGCCAAGCCAGTCAGACTGTGTGAGTCCCAGTGTCAATGAGTGAGTGAGTGAGTGAGCGTATGGAAAATTTTGTGTACATGTCAGTGAGTGAGTGGGGATGTGTGTGGCTGACTGAGTGAGGACTCGGGAGCAAGTGATCAGTGCTCTCCTCGTGAAGCAGCTTGTGCCAAAGCTTCATTACTTGGACTCTAGTGATTCCTGGGAGGGAGAAGCCAAGTGCCACTTTTTTAAAAATCAACAAACACCTCCTGAAAAGAATATACTGGGAGAGACTAAGTAGGGGCTCGTGAGCAAGTGGCCAGGGCCCTCCTGGTGAAGCAGCTGTTGCTTGGTCCCTAGCTCTTCACCTGTTGCAGAAGCCAAGCACCATTTTTTTTTTAACTGGCAAAAGTCTTCCTGGGAAGAAGCGGCAGGGAGAGACTACCAGCTCCAGGCTCTACGTCACCACTGCAGCAGGAGAGACTGCCGGCTCCAGGCTCTGCCGCACCACTGCAGCCCCTGGCCAGATTCTGGCAGCAAGGGCTACGGAGGGAGTCCAGAGGCAGAGCCCCACCAGAGAAGACGAAAGAGGCACTGGCCACCACCTCGAAAACAGGACAGGAAAGTGCTCTGACTTGCTCGCCATGGAGCAACAGCCTCGCTCTCGGTGACCAGTGGATCAACTACTCAAGGGCTTGATCGTGACCCAGAGGGAATATCCTGAAAAGACAAACTCAGGAGAGACGGGACAAGTGTGCTAAGTCTCAGGTACCCCACCCCCTACCCTGAGTCGGCCACAGGGTGGACCCAACCCCACTCCTCCCCAGCAATCCTCTGAACATCAGACACACATGGCTGGGGTGCGAATGAGAGGGATGAACCCAAGCAGAGCCTGGACAGCAGCTGCAGTAGGAAGACTCCATTCCAGGATAAGCCTGGCCAGGACACCCCTCACCAGTACCTGAGAAAGAGACAACCCCAGGCCTCCCCACTGGAGGGAATCCCCTGACCACAGAGGAGTGGGAGGGGAAGACTGCAAACCCACCCACACCTACGGACCCTCCTTCTTCCCTGGTCCAGATGAGGGGGAGGGAGTGAAAGATACAGAAGGTCTGCGGGGGGGACAGTGGAGAAGCAGATGAGAGGAAAAATGATAGAACCTGCCACAAGAGGGCAGGTTTTCTTTTTTTAATTTTTAAAAAAATGTTTGCCTGTTTGTTTTTCCAATTTTTAAATATTTTCCCTTTGAGCACGAAAGTGAATGTGAGGGTTTCATCTGTATCCTCCACCCTATTACTTTTCTCTTTTTTTCCTTTTTTTTCTGTTTAAGTATGCATGTAAATGTTTGAGTGTTTATCTTTCAATTTTTTTTAGTTGTTCTTGGTTTGTTTTTTGCTCTTTTGTTCTTTTCTTTTTTTAGTTTAATGTATGTGTGAATATATGTGTAAGATGCAATCAGAATTTTTATGTATTTTTTCTTTTTTTCTCTTTTTCTTTTCTTTTCTTTCTTTTTTTTTTTTCTTTTTTTTCTCCTCCATTCATTTTGTGCTGGGCATGTGTGTGTGTGGTTGGTTTTCCTGGCTTTTTGTTGTTGTTGTCTTTTGTTTTGTGTAGTTGTGATTCCAGTTTGTTTTGGGCTGTGTGTGTGTGTGTGTGTGTGTGTGTGTGTGTGTTGTGTTCAGCTGTTTTTTACTTCAGTTTCTGCTTTCATTGTTTATTTTTTCTTTTTGAAAAACTTGTATCCATCTTATTTTATTCTACTTTTCTCTGTTGCTCTCATTGCTGTTACTGTATCTTGGACTCAGGGATACACACACGCAGCCATTGTATTGTCATATAGAATAGTGGTGGGGAGTGGGTCTCAGTGAACCCATACCACAACTAGTGAACATTGTGATTTACAAGTAGTTTCTGGTTCCTAGCTACCCAGCCTCTATCTTATTTGACTCTCAAAACTACAAGAGACAGCAAAATTTCCCACCCACAGTCCCATTTCAAAATAGAACAAATCCAGAACCAGGATCAAGAAAGACTAGAAGTCTGAGCAAACATCAGAAGTGAAGTCCTCTCCCACTGCCATTGAATAACAGAACAAAAGAGAAAAGAAAGAGATCATTCACCAATGAGGAAAAACCAGTGGATGACCACAGGTAATTTCAAGTGTAACAAAGAGAAAACTGAAAAATCAGACCTCAGAGCTCAAACAATGGAAGTCACCAACGACTGACCCCAGATTATGACAGGGATTAGTGAATGGATGGAAAGAGTGAATAAGGCTCAAGAAAGACAAGATGCAACACTGAAAAAACTTGTAACATAGATTTTGGCCATAAAAAAATTTATCTGGGAAATAAATAACAAGATAACAAGCATGGAAAACAGAATTAATCCGTCAAAAGAAACAATCTCAGAACTCAAAGACCAGAACATGGAATTAACCCGATCTGTAAAACACATAAAAAGAAAACTCAAAAAGAAAAAAGCATGTAAGAGATGTGTGATTATATCAAGAGGGCAAACCTATGCTTGATTGGTATCCCAGAACAAGAAAGGGGAATGGAGAACACCTCAGAGCAAGTGTTCCAGAAGATTATCCAAGAAAACTTTCCCCATCTCACCAGAAATGTGACCAGCCAAACACAAGAGATACAGAGAACCCCCATAAGACATCAAATGAGAAAGTCAACCCTTAGACACATAGTAATTCACCTACACAAAGTAGACACAAAAGAAAAAATCCAAAAGACAGCAAGAGAGAAAGGTCAGACTACCTACTGGAAAACACCAATCAGAATAGCAACAGACCTATCAGCAGAAACACTGCAAGCAAGAAAGGGACTGGAGTCTAATAGTCAAAGCCCTCAAAGATAAATAGTTTCAACCAATAATTTCCTACCCAGCCAAGCTCAGCTTCATAAGCGATGGGTAATTAAAATTTTTCCCAGACATCCAATCCCTACATAAGAGATTATGTAGCTTTTACACCAGCTCTACAGGAGAGGCTTTAAAAGATATTAAGCACAGAAGAAAGAAAAAAAAGAATGACATACACTTCTCAAGAGAACAGCAGAGTACATAACAGAGACTATGTCACAATAGTAACATTGAAAAAACACACATATCTCAAGCACAAAGCTAAAAGAAAACAAACAAACAAAGAAAAAACTTTATCAGAACCTCAAACAGGGATAAACAATGACATTTCAATAGTCAGCCTGAATGTGAATGAACTAAATACACCACTGAAAAGACACAAATGGCAAACTGAATAAGAAACCATGACCCAATTATTTGCTACATCCAGGAAACTCATCTCACCACAAGGGATGCACACAGACTCAAAGTTAGAGGATGGAAAATGAGTTTCCAGGCAAAAGAATCTCAAAAGAGGCAGGAGTCATTATCTTAATATCAGACAAAACAACCTTTAAGCTATCAAAAGTTCAAAAAAAATAAAAAGAACACTAAATAATGATAAAAGGTTCAATCTATCAATAAGTAATAGTCATCCTAAACATATATGCACCCAACACAGGAGCACCAGCATCTATAAAGCCACTACTAAGTAAATTTTAAAAAGATACTGATTCAACCACTATTACAGCAGAGTACTTGAATGCCCCACTAACAGCCCTAGATAGATCACTGAGAAAAAAAATAATGAGGAGATCCAGACCCTAAACATGACACTTGACCAAATGAACTTAATAGATACCTACAGATTATTCCATCCAACAATCACAGAATATACATTCTACTCAACACTGCATGAATCATACTCCAAGATCAATCACATCCTCTGCCATAAATCAAGCATAAACAAATTCCATAAGGTTGAAATATTGTCAGGCACCTTTTCAGACCACAGTGAAATAAAAATAAATATCAACACCAACT